CTAAGGGAGAGGGTTTCTACATCTCCAAAACTCGTAGCAATAATAAAAATACCGCCAATAATCCTATACAATACGATCTCAAATACGTAGAGGGTAAGGATATATACGCCGACTACGAATTTAAAAGTATCCGGCTATATTTAAAGAGTTCGAAGAAGGGTTGTAAATTTAAAGTAAAAGCCGTAATATATAAGAAGTTCGGTAGTATTTAGAAATTTATTTATAATTAATACTAATATAATTATAACTTTAACTTAAATACTGTAAGGTATATACCTAGGTATCGCCGGCTTACCTACACTTCTAATATAATTGAAAATATACTTAAATATAAGAAATAGCCCAAAAATACGTTTAGAAACATCGCTACCATCTTACAAACTAACTTCCTAGAAGTAAAGATTAAAAATCGAGATGTATTGAATATACTGGCCGCCGCTAAGGCCGACAAAACTAACGCCCTCACGCCTACTTAACAATTTTTACACTCTCTATAATTAAACCCCGCGGTATTTATTAAACTCTATTATTAAGGAGAAGAAGAAAAGCTCGGCACGTTCGATAATAATAATAAGGATAAGGGAAGTAAGGATATTAAAAAACCGCTCGCGTACAATAATAACCGCCCGATTAATCGTATATTCTAGATATACAATTAGTATATAAATTAATAGAGGAAGAACCTAGAAGTATAGTCTTTAAATTATACTTATAAAATAAATCGGTTTAATATACCACTTTTACAAATTTACAATATTACAGCCATATATACAATTTTTAATATTAGGTATTACTTATTAAGTAGGGAGAAGGAGGAATCTTTCAACTAGGTACTACGTATACTTAAGAGGCTGCTTACTAATAAATATATCGCCAGACTATATATAATTATATTGGATTATAATCGTACTTTTAAGAGAGCTACCCGCACCGTCTTTAATTATAATACCCAATACCAAATTTATTTATAGTATATTATAAAGAATATCGCCTTCAATATTAAGAAAAAATAAATTAGCACGCTCGATAGCACGGCTTTCGGCAATAGAAGTAATAACGGTAATTATTTCCGCAATAATAAAAAGGACTACCGTAATAATAATAAGCACGGAGACAATAGGATTAATAAAATTAATAGTAGTTTTATTAATCCTACTAATAATAATAATCAAATTCGTAATATCGGGGTAAGGTTACTCATAGTAGAAGACCGCCGCTAGTACCTTAATAAAGCTATTTAAAGCGTATTAACCGGTTATTTTAATAAATAAGCCCCGCTTAACTCTAGGTAATTGTAGTTCAATAATACCGATAATATTTTCTTTATTTAGGCGGCTATAGTTTATTCCGATTTAAACAAGGAATTTTAAAACTACTAGCGAACTCTAATAATAGAATTCCCTAATTAAAAACGTAAATCTATTCCCCCCACCATTTCTATTAACTTTACTAATTTAATTCTTATAATATTAATCGAATATTTATTAAAAATTTATTTGCCTATCGCCTAAGAGTTCGTAGCGTACTATATTAAATACTATTACAATTTTAGTATTAGAGTTATATTATATATAGAGGGCGCTTACAGTATCCTTAAACGACTACTCAAAAATCGGCTCATCAATTTAACTACCCTACTTAATACTATTAAAAGTAATCTAAATCGACTATAAGAATAGTTTACCGTTATATACATTAATTAGACCTTTAAGAAAGTTCACCGGTTTAATTATCGAATACTACATCGATTATAGTATTTAATAAACTTTACTACTCTCGATTTAATTATAGAGTAAATTAAAATAGTAGAGAAATAAGTAAAGGATAATCCGCTATTTCGCCGGCCTAATTACTCTAATCGATTTCGCGTATAGTATAATCTCCTTTACTAATACGAAATTAAGTATTTACTTTTAGCGGGACCTAATATAATATTTATTATACTTTATATCGATTTATATTAATAATTCAAACCCGATATTATAAATTTAGTCCTCTCCAATTATTAATTAATAAAAATATATTAAATTAACCGGTAATAATCTTTATTAATAGCCTTTTTTAAATTTATAAATAAAGACAACCCTAATAAAATTATAACCCGCCGCAATACCCCTATAGGCTCCGTAATTAATAGATTTCAATTTATACTACAAAGTATATACCTCGAATTTACTAGTATTCGAAGGGATACGAGTACGTAATATAATCTAGCTTACGATACGTTAGTACAATAGCCTCCTCCTCCTAAGAAACTAAGATTCACAATAATATAGATTAATTAATAGTAAGAGGCACAGATCGCGAACCTTATAAGTATAGTAAATACGTTAGTAACGATTAATACGAGTTAGTTACCCCCTAATATTATACTAACTATACTAATAATAACGTTGCTAATAGCGGTAGCCTTACGTACGTAGAGTAACGACGAACTGCTAGTACCCTTATAGAGCCGTACTACGTAATATAAGGAGCGGGTTATATAATTCTAACGGGTATTATTATACGTAATAATATAAGACTTTATTTCTGTGCGATTCTAGCTGTCTCATTTACATGGTAGTGGTGTAAATGTTGGAGTATGTCGTTTAGCGGGTAATTTGGGTGCAGCTGATATTTGCTAACATTTGGCCAGCTGGCGACCCTATATAGGGACGTTCCCCTTTAGGTTAGAGTCCGTGACTCTATCTGGGCACACCGTGACTTTAGCTGCCCCGCTTGCCACTATCGATAGTGGAGGGTCCGATGTTGTCTTTTCTCAAATAGGAAACGACGTGCCCCACCTTTCCCGTTGTCATTGGGCTGGCGTGGCCCGTGGGTGCCCCTCACTGTTCCCCGTCGGTCCCAGGTCGTTCGGACTGACGGGATGGACTCCTCCTAAGCGGTGGGGAAGACTTTCACTTCCAAGGCCGGGCCTGAACTTAAGAAAAGATTCCCGTCTCTCGCTATCAATTTTCCCCAAATCGCAAATGGAACGCTGTCAGTTGTCAAGCGTCTGTCACCAGACCACTGGCCGCCAATCTGTAAGAGACGACGACGAAAGATATGGAACCCACGGGGTGAAATCTTTCATGCAAGAGGCACTAGTCCGCGGCTTCTGCAATTGTATTACCGCCCACCCCAGGCATTTGACGGTCAACGCAGGACAGGTGCCTAACGATCACCTCCGACTCAATGGAAACACCAGGCACTGCGTTCAATGCACGCAAGCTTTCAACATGCGAGGGCCCAAGCCTCGTGAACTCGAAAGCCAGGTTGAATTCGAAAGCCCTCACTTCTCCAGAGCATGAGCGTCATTGTCTCCGCATTCCGCAATAGGTGCATCATCGGTGGCGCCTTGCCATGTGAGAAAATGCCAGTGCGATTCAGGGCCTGTTCGCAGAAAGTCGAATTTGAAACGACATCTTTTAAAAGCCTAGATATTCTGCCTTATGCGGCCTCCATTGTCCTTGCTTTTAAGGACAACTTCCCAGTGCATGCTCACAAGACCAGAAGGTTATGGGGAAGGGACTTCAAAATACCTGAACTGCAAGCACTTTGAAAACTCAACAAAAATGACAAACGAGACGCCAAAGGCAATGGGGGTATACACCGTAAGACAGACCCACGACGGTTCTTTCGGGTAAATCAGCAGATCGGAATGTCTACCGTGGGAAATAAGAAGTCTTTGGTCAGCTGAGCAAAGCTTGACATGAGGCAACGGTATGGACAGTGAGACACAAGGGACATCACTTGTTCAGTGAACTCTCGGTACTATAGCATGCTTGACCATTGTGGATTCGACGCCTGGCGGTGCTCCCCGTCTCAGCTTGTATCGAAACACTGGAGCTGAGCTGTAGTGTAGTGTACATTTCTTTTGACATTGAGAAGCTGTCTCGTCAGGGGAACCTAAAGTCTGAATGAGGAGTTGTTATGTTTGGATTGGCGGGCCAGGATGTTGGGTCTGGGGAAAAAGCTTGGATTGCTTGGCGGGATTAAACAATGCCAACGGCCGGTGGAAATTCCTGAAGCCACGCTCCCGTGATCAGTCAGGTTTGTTTTGGTGGAATTTCACAGCGCTCTGCTAAAGCCTGTCGGGGAGAACACGAGACCAACAGAACTTTCGTCCCTGACAGTAGCCACAATCTCTTTCGCCGATCAAATTTATCCTTTTAGCGCCGACAGGGGTTTATCCAATAGGACATGCAGTTCAGTAACAATTTCCTTATCAGCTACCTTTCTCTACCTCACTTTCTATGCGATAAGACCCTTCTGCCAGTACCTCAAGAGTAGTCGCCTGATTTTTATGGGGCGCGCTAAAAGGATAAATTTGATCGGCCAAAGAGATAGGTGGTTTCCGCCAGCCCCGCCAGCCCTCCCGCCAGCGCAGCTCGCAGCTCAGAAGCGACGGTGTCAACAGGGGCAGGACTTGCCCCTCCTCGGTAGGCGATCCGGAAGGTAGAGGCTGTCGTAATCCCCGGGGGCCGTTACGGCACATCAGCGGTCAAGCCTAGAAAGAGAGTTGTGGTAGGCGGAGACTCCCATACGGACCCTCGTTGACTCCATACCAAACGCGCAAGTTTGGGCTTAGTTCTGTAACAAGAGCCAACTTCAGGATCCCGTGCGACGACCAGCTAGTTTCTATTACCCCCAGATTACTTGATGGCGTCTCTAGCACACACGGACTGGCTCAAAGAAGTACGGTTTTGGGAAAAACTGGGGGTAATGAAAACCGGCGGGACAACCACTCAGCAGCCGCCATAGGTTCCGGCTATTCCAACGGAGCCGGTCTGGAAAGACAGGGAGTAATCGCGGAGTACAGGCCGCCAGGGAGCTCCAACTTCTCCAATTTTTACGTACTAGGGGCCATCACGGGACCAGCTTGTTTGAAACCTTTACGATCACAGTCAAAAATGGTCCAAATTTAACGACGATTTAGAGGCCCCAGAACATCGATGAGGCCAGTATACACGATTATGATGCCAGTAAGCGTTTCTCAGCTCGCTGGACTCTCAATGGCCAAGCCAAGAGGCGGTAAAGAAGCACCGACGCCGTCACACAACATGATCGATGTTGACGAAATCCGAGTCCACCGGCAGCACCACCTACTGTCTAAGGCTGCTTCCACCTTCCTATGGTATGCATAGTGCTTTACAGGGCTGCATGCGATGCAAAAATCTCTTCCCGTCCAGCTGCCATATCCAGCAGAGAATCCGGGATACGAAGCATCGAATACTGTGGAGGTACATCTTTGTCTCCTGTCCAGCTGCTCATTACTACTTGCATGTAAATCTAGGCTGACGGAGAGGCAAATGTCCCGAGCGGTCGTGATCCCCGCCAGCAATATTCTACTTCGCACGGTGTACATTACGACACTGGGTACCAACGGGGCAGACTGCACCAGAAAACCTGAACGCTTGCTTCCAGAACGTGCTCGATGGGCGATCCCCCCTATGGCCAGTTTATGCTGTGGTGAGAAGCGGGAAAATCGTGGTGAACTGTGCCTGCAATCGATGTTCTGCTTGTTTGTCAACAGTCGACCAGTTGACCACTTGACAAGCATCAATGCGCAGGGGTGCTCCCCGTATGAAAGTCGCTTAAAGGTAACCTGAATATGAGGCCCTCATAGCAAGTGGAAGCTCTGTGCCGCATGAAAGAGTTGCGTATGTTGGTGAGAGCGAAGACGGCAGAAGGGCACGAAGAGGAGTCACAATGACTTCGGTTCAAAGGTTTTACACAGCCATCAGTTGGATAGCGACATTGACGAGGGGCCGGCAATAGGTACGAAAGACAAAAGAAGGCTACGTACAGGGAGAAACTGTCAAGTCCAACTGGAAAACCTCGAATAGCCGCTTTTCTGGAGAAGGAGAAGGGATGCCCCACTGAGGTGAGATACGTACCCCGTACCTTGACTGCAAATAGAAACGAGGAAAGCCCCGGTTTCCCGTTCAGGTACCGATCCTGTGACCCAATCAGCACAGGCCAGAAACATCCCGATCAGGCTTAGGTAGGTAGTCCGGCACGGCAAATTCGTTGGTGACAGAGCGAGAAAAGGCCCACAAGCAGGTACGTACCTGTACCCCAGACTCTCATTGGACTCTTGCGTTCTGGGGATAGACTTAGCAACTCATCCATTCCTTCTTTGACGACATGGCACATCGTGAAGGGAATCAGGAAGGTACATGGGAGTTACTTTCGCTACCTCTTTACCTACCTAGTCAAGTGGAAGTCAACGATCCTCGCAACCTGGCTGCAGCGTTGCAAATTTCTGACAAGCCACGCATCGTCAATACACCTATCGGTCGGGGTCCATCACGACCCATCAACGGCGGTCCATGGCTTCCCTTCTATCCTGGTAAGCTCCCATCCCCAACTCCAGAGGTCACTTGTTGCAGCAGCATGGATTGCCTACACGCCGGAACTGTGCAGCCATATAAAGAGCTCTGGGACGCCCACCCCGTCAGCCAACAGTTACAAGGCTCGAGATCAAAGACTATACTTGATACACACACTTCATTCCTTGATGTAAGGTCAACAACTCCAGGCCTTCTTTCTGCTATTGATCCTTGGCCGGTTGTTTCATCCTCGGCGGTTTAACTCCGACTACCTCTAGGTCTCTTGCACCTCTATATCAACCCGCCAACCGACGAAACCCTTAGCTGTCTTCCAGCCAAGCACACAAACCCGTCGTATCTCTGTGCGACAAACTGCCGAGTATCCTCACTCAGCGGTCCATTTTGGTAGGTGGCGCTTTTTCCCTTTTACCTGGAAAATACCCTCGGCGGAGATGTCAGGGCGATTACCTCTATAACACTAGGCAATCACCCTTCCACTTGGCGACATGGACAAGACCAATGTATAAGGTACTTGGGTCACCCCTGAACCACTCAGCACGGTTTACCACCATTGCCGCTGCAACCACTACCTACACTGCCCTTCCGGGAATACCTACCTACCTACTTTCACGTCCCCCGAATACCGATCTCCCCTGGATCTTGTCTCTCCGTCCCCACCACCTTCATGTTTCCATCCGGATATTCCTTCTCTGCCCCTAATTCCCTTATCTCGTGGGATTCCAGCCGTTGCGCGGCAAGGCGGAAGTTCGCATTATATGCCACCGACGAAGGCTGGGATGCCAAGGCCGCCTGTTGCCCGAGTCCTTGCTCGGGGTGATATCTGGCGCGTGCAAAGCGAGTCCCGTAGCTCTGGATGTTGGGATGAATGCCTGGCATCATTGGGATGAATCCTGGTGTCACCTGTACCATGGAACATGCAGTCTTTTGTGCTCCTTCTCTGATTGCAATCTCTCCCGATCCTCATTCGAGTCCTTCAGCGTCCCCATTGGCGGCCAGACGGAAAGGATGAGTCGGTCAGGAACGAGAGATGGGAGATGGATTGGGACCTTTTCCAAGTCGCCATGGAAAATGGAACCAGCCGTTTGAGTGGCTCACCGTTTTAAGGGCTCCTGGCCAACAAGCACACGATTCCTTTCACAATGCGCATCGTGTTATCTGGTCAGTCTTGAAAGCCGCGTTCTAACAGGCCAACAGGAATCTGGGCATTGCTGTCAACAAAATACCTCTGACAGCTTCTCACACAAGTCCTCTTTGTCTCTCGAAGCCTCCGAGACACGCTTACCCTTATCGCTGGACCGTTGCATTTTGCCTTGGTTCTTGCCCCTCCGGGTACCATTCCTCTATCGCCCCGCCAACGAGCACACCAGCATCACAGCATCACTCTACCGACGCCTGTGATCTTCTCGAAATAGCACAGGTCCTCATACACACGGATACCTGCCGCCCAGCATCAGCACCTAAGCGCAAGTATCTGTGCTGCTCTGAAATTGCCAATCCCTTTTTATCTGCCTAGGCGGATAATCTCGACTGTCAAGCAAAGTTCTGACCAGGTACGTCTCCCTCGCATACGCCCTCAAAAGGTTCTGTCTTTCTCTTATCAGCACGAGATGAAACACGAAAGCATGGCTTAAGGCGCGGTAAGCACAAACTCGCATGCCGGAGCTTACACTCCCGCAAAACCAAACGAGGCGCGCTCGTTTTTTCCTGCCGTCCCAATTTGGCGGCATCGAGTTTGTCTTGCCGTTATCAATGCCATGTTGCCGTGTCACCCTTTCTCCCTTCCCTGGCTCACGGCTGTGCCACGATTTGTGGCCGACCTGGCTTATCCGATCCCGGGGGCTTGACCTGTTTGACCTGATACGGGGCCTTCCATGTTCTGGTTATTCTTGTTTTCACGTTGAGCTTTCTGATATCGGTCATACCACGGTCAAGATGAAAGGCCAACGGCTGTCATTGCACCATGAATGCCCTACAAAACTCCCTTCTAGAAGCCTCATCGTTCCCTTCTTCTTTGTCATTTTCCCATCTGTCTCTGTACACCTCATTCTACACACGTTGATCGTAGCCTGGGAGGCTTTTGTCACCTCACTCCAATCGCCATGGCGGACGTAGTGATTCCCCTCCCAAGCACTGGGGGCTACAAGCGCAGAGCATCTGGCTTGACCATTCAAACTGACCTTCCCATGTCTAGTTTTCCCGAACTTTTCGAGTCCTCAGGCGATACCATGATGGATTCTCCTTCAGCCCCGGTCCCAGCCCACAAGTTGGTTGATCGCCTCAAAGATCAGACGCCCAGACATCCTTCTCCTCAGCCGACTCATGTCAGCTATCCCAAGGTGAACGGCAACGGGCACAGGGTGCTCCGCTCCGCAACTGTTGGATATGTTGCCCCTGTCTTCCAGGGAAAGGCAGAACAGATGAAGCAAGGTTGGTAATTCTACGCATATACTGTGCTATATCATTTACTGATATTCATCACAGTCAAGGATATCATTGTCCAGGGCGGCTGGATTCCTGAGACTCTGGTTGACGGTCAGATTACTTGGTTCTATAATGAGCTTGGCATCGACGACGTCTACTTCCAACTAGAAAACCCTCAGGCGGTTGCAAATCATATCACATCTCTCTATGCGGCCAAAGTTGCTGCTTTCTCTCGCGAGGACAAGCGGGAAGAGATCAGACTGGATATGGAAGCCTCGGACCACGCCATTTACATCGACACAAGCGAACCCGGCATGACCTCCTTCGACGGTCCGCGATATGAGCACAGACTCGAGTCCAAGTACTTGGATGGCGACGATACTTCGAAGCGCTTCCGTGTCGAGACTTTCAGATCCCCCGGTGTCCTGGGACAGAAGGAGAACTCCAAGGCAGCTCTTCGTTGCTACTTTGTTTATCAGTGTCTCTTCGTTGATTCTAACGCCGATCCCAAGGAAACCCGCCTGGAAGTGATCAGCGACCGCATGTTCCTTGCCAAGGCTACCAAGAACACCAAGCAGATCTACCAGGACATCATCCAGGTTGCCGTGAGCCGACATGGCCCCGTCATTGAGGTTTTCGACATCGAGGGCTCGGAGGAAATGAGACTGGTAGTTGCCTTCCGCTCTCGAACAGCAAAGGGTATCTTCAGCGCCCTCAGCGACCTTTACCACTACTACGGCGTCACAAGCTCTCGCAAGTACGTTGAGCAGTTCTCCAATGGTATCACCGTCATGAGTATCTATCTGCGCCCTGCTGCGAACATCGACGGCAAACACCCTCCTCTTGAGCAATCTATTCACCAGATCACCAAGGAAATTTCCTTGCTGTACTGCCTTCCCCAGAACAAGTTTCACAACATGTTTGCCTCTGGTGAACTCAGTCTGCAGGAGACCATCTATGCCCACTGCGTCTGGGTGTTTGTTCAGCATTTCTTGAACCGTCTTGGAACAGAGTACACTTCGCTCATTGCAGCTCTGGACCCCAAGAACAACTCGCATGTTGAGATTCTCTCCAAGATGAAGAAGCGTCTGCGTACCGAGACCTTTACGCCTGACTACATTCTTGAAATCATCAGCTCTCACCCACAACTTGTGCGCGCTCTCTACGCCTCGTTCGCCAGCGTTCACCTTCGGGTCGGCAGCGATTATGATCGCCACCTCATTGCGCCTACGCCTGTCATGGAGGTCCTCTCTGATGCCAAGCTTAAGGAGAAGATCACCAAGGACGTTTCTAACGAGCACGAGGAAATGGTTATGACTGCCTTCCGTGTATTTAACAATGCAGTCCTCAAGACCAACTTCTTCACTCCCACCAAAGTCGCTCTGAGCTTCCGGCTTAATCCCTCGTTCCTTCCGGAAGTCGAGTATCCCAAGCCGCTGTACGGAATGTTCCTCGTCATCACTTCCGAGTCGCGAGGTTTCCACCTCCGCTTCAAGGATATTGCACGGGGTGGTATTCGTATTGTCAAGTCTCGAAGTAAGGAGGCTTACCAGATCAATGCTCGCAATCTCTTTGATGAGAACTACGGTCTTGCCAGCACCCAGCAGCGCAAGAACAAGGATATTCCGGAGGGCGGATCGAAGGGTGTCATTCTCCTTGACCCCAAGCAGCAAGACAGGCACCGCGAGGCCTTTGAGAAGTACATCGATAGTATCCTTGACCTTCTTCTGAAGGCTGAGACGCCTGGCATCAAGAACCCCATTGTCGACCTCTACGGCAAGGAGGAGATTTTGTTCATGGGACCGGATGAGAACACTGCTGACCTTGTCGACTGGGCCACTGAGCATGCCCGGGCCCGCGGCGCTCCTTGGTGGAAATCCTTCTTCACTGGCAAATCACCACGTCTTGGTGGCATCCCTCACGACTCCTATGGCATGACAACCTTGTCGGTCCGTGAGTATGTCAAGGGTATTTACCGCAAGCTTGAGCTTGATCCCTCCAAGATCAGAAAGATGCAGACTGGTGGTCCCGATGGTGATCTGGGAAGCAACGAGATTCTGCTCAGCAACGAGACTTACACTGCTATCGTTGACGGATCCGGTGTCCTCTGCGACCCCAACGGCATTGACAAGGATGAGTTGCGCCGTCTTGCCAAGGCTCGTGCTATGATCTCGAACTTTGATATCGCCAAGCTTTCCAAGGATGGTTATCGTGTGCTTTGTGACGATACCAACGTCACACTCCCCAACGGAGAGGTTGTGCACAACGGCACTGCATTCCGTAACACGTACCATCTTCGCGACAACGGCATCACTGACATGTTCGTGCCTTGCGGTGGCCGTCCCGAGTCGATCGACCTCTCCTCAGTCAACAAGCTTATCAAGGATGGAAAGTCAACCATCCCATATATTGTTGAGGGTGCCAACCTTTTCATCACTCAAGATGCCAAGCTCAGACTGGAGGAAGCCGGCTGCATCGTTTACAAGGATGCCAGCGCCAACAAGGGCGGTGTAACCAGCTCATCGCTCGAGGTCCTTGCCTCCCTCAGCTTTGACGACAAGGGCTTCGTTACCCACATGTGCCACGATTCCCGCGGCAATGCGCCCGAGTTCTACCAGGCCTATGTCAAGGAAGTGCAAAACAAGATCCAGGACAATGCCCGCCTCGAGTTCGAGGCCATCTGGCGGGAACATGAGCAGACTGGCCTTCCTCGATCTGTTCTCTCTGACAAGTTGTCATTGGCCATCACCTCTCTTGACGAGGATCTCCAGCGTTCAGAGCTCTGGGACAACGAGAAGATTCGCAGGTCCGTCCTTGCCGATGCCTTGCCCAACCTTCTCATCAACAAGATCGGCCTCGATACCATCATCGAGCGTGTTCCCGATTCGTATCTGAGGGCCATCTTTGGCAGCTACCTCGCCAGTCGCTTCGTCTATGAGTTTGGTAGCTCGCCCAGCCAGTTTGCTTTCTATGATTTGTAAGCCCACCTTGAACATTCCTGAAGTGATAACCAAGACACTAACTCTCTTCTTAGCATGTCAAAGAGAATGGGAAACATCAACAAGGAGTAAATCCCTGATTGTTCGCTAACACAACATCAATCATGATTGTTCGTTTCGGTTACCTAGAATGGGTCTTGGCGCAAAAAAACAAATAAAGTAAAAAGAGAGAAAAAACAAAAAAACGTTGATATGGGTTGACGAAGGAAGAAGTTTTTTTCTTTCGATTTGGACGAATAGTCATGTTGACTTTGAAATGCTCACCTGAAAGGTTTTAGGGAGATACATATGGAGTTCACGTCCTGGGCTTGATTTGCATTGATAGAGCGTTAGCGTGTGTCTAGAGAGGCCTTATATTTAATTGACCTCTTATCTTATATAGAACCTTTCCACACGCGTCATGTTGAACTTGCACTTTTCTTTTCTCCCAGACAGCCTTTGTTTACTAGGCAATGCCTCATCAACCACACCTTCACGCTTGGTCGACAGACATCAAACACGGATCCTTTCTGGCTCTCAGAATAAGGGGTCATTCTCAGCCCTTCAAAACAAGACATGTAATCGAACCAGAGTCATCATGATCTGCTGCAGGTTCTACCGGATGTAACAGCGGCTCGCTTGTCATCCCGCTCTAGCCCAGCTTCCAGAACATGTATGGAAGAAAACGGATGGCGACACAACGTCTCCTATGTAAGCCTGAATGGAGCCGCACGAATAACTCAGTGAGCGGTCGACGGGATGACGGACCTTGGATAGCCGATGAGTAACAAAGGCGAAGATCCTGGGAAGACTGGACCGAATGGCACTTGGTAACTGAATGATATCTTTTGGCTACACAGGGTTACACGAGGACCCGGACTTGGGACTTGATGTCTGTAGTCTGGTGTACAAGGGTAACAAGACAGGAGTCAAATGGTAGATGTACTACTTCACGTGACGCCTGATACCAAATTTCGAGTCAGACCTTTCCGATACTACTTACACAGTAGGTATGTAGTAGTCTGTTCTGTCAAGTGCTACCTAGGTGCAATGTATTTTTGGATGGTGTCTCTTGCGGCAGGCCTTGAGTGGAACCAAGGAACTAGAGATAATGAAAGTACCTTGGCAGTCTTGAGCTGCTATGTGTAAGTTTGGGATTGAGGAGGATATGAGTGAAACTCGAGAAGATAGGCACAGGCTGTGAGTGAGTGTGCTAGGAAAGCTATAGTTAGGTAGGTAGGTAGGCACCTAGGTAGGTATTGACTGTGGGCGCGAGTCGCTGTGTAACGTTTGGACAGTGTGTTGCCCATCCATCCACAGAACCGTACCCCACTGATAACTGAATAGCAGATGACATCTGGCAATACTTATCTCTAGTGTGTAAGTATCTTGAGAGAGCATAATGGGAGGAACATGACCATCTGAACCTCCAACTTCAACTCGAGTCAAGTCAGACGTGTAGACTGGCCCTCGGCAAGGGGCTGAATAAAAGTAGTGGCAAGAAAACGAGGCGAGCGAGGATCTGGGGCATGTATGACAGGTGCCCTACTTGTGATGGAGAACTACATTCGAGATAAAAAAAATATCACATCTAGGACGAGAGAATTGGATCGAAAGTATTTACGAGCTTCCTCTGTTCTTGATGTGAGCTCATTCGGACCAACTCGACCCGACCAAACTTCGTACGTTAAAAGATCAGCGCAGTGTAGTAATCCCTTGAATACTTTCGGGTTGGTCTGTTCTGGATCTTAGTTCTGAACAAACAAATGTAGAGGTACTTGTACACAGTCCGTGCTTATCCTGTTTAATGGTTTGTGTCGAACTGAGAATTGGGACATGGATAGGTATTTTTACGCACCTGCCCATCACACAGATCTTGTATCTTCATGCTTGTACTTACAGTTACATACGTACTCACGTACTCCCATTCCCATTCATGCTTCTAAAGCCTGAGTGGCGAATGTCCTTCCATAACTAGGTAACCAGTGAGGAGATTGGAGACCATATGGGCATCTGGCATAGTATTTCCAATAAAGATTGAGACTTGATTTGTTCTCGCACGTACGAAAACAAGATCGAGAAGTTCGTGGTGGCATGTTGTCATTTGGCATTGAGAAGCAGGAGCTCACAGTAAGACTGGAGTATAGCGAGTAGCTTCACCACCGTCCAGATAGCACAATATTCAGCCGAGTAGATCCACTGCGCGAGAAGCTGAGAGTACGGTCTTTACCTCTAGGCACTCAGTTGCCGGGCGATTGAGAAGGCACAACCGTTGCAGGGAAGGACTGGAACACGCAATTGGTTGCTCCCTCGTTGACTGATGGCTCACAACAGTTTTTGAGATTAAAACCATGCCCCCTAGATCTCCTAAATTCCCCAGCTAAGCTGGCCTCACTGCAGTCTAACGAACACGGAAGAGGCGTTCGGTTGCCAGCAGTTGTTCTTGCCAAATCGGAGCGCTTCGGAAGCTACAGTAGATGTTGGAATGATGACGGATCGATCAGCAAAGGAAGGAGCGAAGGATCAGAAACTAGGACTAGGAGATGTACATCTGTTAGTGAGACCCGACCTTGACTATGTAAAATTTCATCGCTCTACTACCCCTTCTAACAGATATCTCCCCAGTGTACTTGCTTCAGCGAGATGGTCACGGAAGAGCTCTTGCCGCAATTTGATGTTCGTAGTTCAGTTCTTGATGAGCCTGTCCGTGCTGCTTGCCGTGGTGTGCAGTGATCCAGTGCCATGGGATTCATGGTGCAGTAGGTACACACTGCACGCAAAACTGATGCAACATCGAGACGGAGGCCGGGATTGTCAACGGCCAGCGGCAATCTTGCTCCTGATCGTCTGACACTGCAACCACAGTCAGTGGGCTTGCAACCAACGTCCACTACCTCTTACTGCAGGCACTTCAAAGACATTTCCGTCTTCAGTTCTCGGTTCAGTTCGCAAGATCGGTACCAAGTAAGTGTCCTGTAAAGTAGAGCGTTGTAATGCAATACCGCAAAGACTCGGGGCATAGCTTTTCAACTTCCAAGGAAATCAGGCATAAATGTTGCAGTGTGCTTGCAGACTCTGCTTGATTTTCCTGGAAGTTGAAAAGCTATGCCCCGAGTCTTTGCGGTATTCCTACCGTCCCATCACTTAAACTTAACTCTACCAACCCGAACCACTGCAGTTCAAATAACCACCTAGTCCCAGTCGCTCCTTCGCATCTCACTTACATTGAGGTCACTCACAATCCGCACTCATGGTCCTCGCTGTAGGTGTAGCGCAACCGAGTGCCGAGTTCGTTACTAGGTACCTCATTGCAGCTTGAACGAAAGGGAAAGAGCAGAGGGGCCTTTGGAGGGCCGGGGCATGTACCTCTTTACAGGAGTGAGACTGTAAGTACGTCGAACTCAAGATGACCATCAGATACTGACCTCGGCTACTCACTTATTGATCGCTCTACTAGTAGCGGCGTCATCAACAGAGTTCTGACTGCGCACTGCAGTTCGTTGTTCACAGCCAAGTACACCGCACTTCCCGGCCACCTTGCATGTCTTGCTGTTAAATTATCAAATAGTATTATATACGCTGCTGATCTCTGCTAGTGCCATATCCAAGGTGTCTTCCATCTTCAAAAGCCATTGATGAGTGGGAAGCAAAATCCTCAGTCCGGCACCTTTTTAGTGGTCCGACTCTGTCCCGGAGTCCCTCCGTCTATGTACAAACTCGCAATAACATAATGTATATACCTGTAGTAACCTCTATTGTCATTTCAGTTTCCCCACCCCTGCATTCAACTCAGCTGTTCCAAGACAGCCGCTTGTTTTCACGAACAAGGTTTTTGTTGTCCTTCACACTCACGCCAATGTGAGTAGTACAACGAAAACGAATGGAAAAAAAAGAAAAGAAAAAAAGAAGAAAAAGTAACCTAGGACAAAACAAAACGTAATGTCAAAACGACACCAACTCGAATATAGAGAAAGAAGAATGATTACAGAATTATAAAAAAGACACCGTCCACTCCCTTATAGTCCGTCCGACTGCTTCAGGTATTCGCACTCGCACTAAAACTCCTACTCAGCCTATGCCCAACGATATCCGGCCTGGGCCCGCCAATGGCTTCAATAGAGCCAGGTCCCACAGCAGCATGTGCAGTGACCGGCCTCCTATTCTCTAAATCTTCACTACGCTCAGCTTCTTCTTCCGCGACCTCTTGAAGGGCCCGGTCGCTGTTCAAGATATCGTCGCGAGGAGCCGAAGTGGGACCGGGACTAGGCTGTGATTGACCCCCACGATCCTTGAGTCTGTTGGAGATGGCACTGAGCTTATCTCTCAAGTATCCCGCCTTCCTCTGCGTCGCCTCTGGGCTCTCCTTGTCGTCTCTCAGCACCGTGTTGGACTGTCGCAGCATCGACACACCGCTGCTGGTGCCAGGTCGGGACATGGTTTCCCCATCGCCGTTGGAAGCGGGACTGGCGCCGGATGTTCCTCCACCACTGCTACCAAACAGTCTGGACCCGGCACTGGTTGCGGGCCGGAGCAGGCTAAACGCACCCCGATGCGGTTGGTTGCCATCCATACCCGGCGGTAGGATAGGTGTCGGCGGGGTCATGGTGAAGCCGACGGCTGGTGGCCCAGATGCAATCGACTGGGCACTACTACTAGTACCAGCCGTGGCGGTGGTCTGCGGCACGAGTGGTGACCGCTGCGAGGAAGCAATGCTAGAGCTCCGGCTCTCCGAGCTGGGAACCACCGATACTGTTTGCGAGCGTGCAATCGACCGCGGCGGGGAGCGAGAAAAGTCCACGATGGAGGCGTTGTATATCGAAGACGAGTCATCCCCGCTGTTGTCGCGTGATTCTGAGAGAATAGGAGCTAGTAGGACTGAGCTTGTGGCGAGTTCGCGAAGCTTGGATTGCTGTGCAGTGTTGGGCCGGTGTTTGGAGAACTTGTTGCCAATAATGGCGCCCGTGTGGCTGATGAGGGCTTTGATGATGCGATTCTTGAGATTGAGGGCAAGGTCAAGGTTGGACCATGTCTTGTTCTGGTATTCGATTGTGGGTAGCCTGAACACAAAGTTGTGCACGTCCTCCAGGTTACGGTCTCCCTTGCCCTTGTAGCTCAGGCAGAGTACCACCGACGGCATCTTGATGTAGGCAAAGGTCATGTAGTTGGAGGCCCGGTCAATCATCTTGGTGAGATCGTCCGACTTCTTCCTCTTCTCCACGTCCGCGGCCGCCTTGCGCAGCATGAAGCGAGTTCCCTTCTTCGTCTCCGGATTGGAGCTGCCATCCTTGGATGATAAGCCCGTGGATGTCCTACCAACGCTAGGTCGTGGAGTGCTCGGACGAAGTGATGACTCGTCAGAAGGTGGTTTCTTAGACACCGTCTTGAACCCAGTACCGACAGACCGGAAGAGTCTGAAGGAGCTTCCTTCTCCAGTGTGAATGCTCAAGGCCTTGTTGTTTTTGCTAGGTGTGGCTTCCGGATCGGATGTCAAGGTAGGGCGCAGGCGCAATTCGAGAGAGCCCGCCCGTGTTGAGAAACCTCCCAACTCCCTATCACTGTCTGGTATCCCAACGGTTTCGAGAGACCCATCGTCTTCCGCATCCTCGTCATCCTCCGGCAAGGTCTGCTTGATGATGAAAGGAGACGTGTTTTTGGCGGCAGTGGCCTCGTCACCATCAATACCAGGGAAGACGTACTCGAACAACTTTTTACCGACCTCCCTCTCCAGCTGAATCTTGAGCGGGAAGAGAGCGACCTCGAAGTGATCCATGACAGGAATACCGGCGATGGCCTCGAGCATGTGGAAGTACACCCGAATCATTGGCTGAGAGGTAGGGTCAAAGCCACCACGGTGACCATCAACGTACGGCGCGACCATCACGGGGTAGATTGCGTCAGGAAGGAGGTTGAGACCAAGTATGCTTCCGACCTGAATCAAGTTCACGTGCGAGCCGTCCGAGTTGTCGGTACGGTCATACTCGACATTCTTGAGCTGGAGTTCGACAAGCGGTTCGCTAGTGTCCCGGATGAGGTGCCACACAATCTCCTTTGCTGTAATGCTCCACCTCAGGAGTGGACTGCTTGTTGAGCTTTCGTACTTGCGTTGAGACGAAGTGATGGCCTTCATCATGAAGAAAAGCTCATCCTCGCAAGCGGCCAAATCGCGTTCCAGTACCAGTCGATCTTTCCACCCTCTCTTATCCATGTACTTGCCATGGGTTTGGAAGTGGGTTTTGATATCTTCCAACTGCCGGACACGCTCTTGAAGTTTGATCACCATTTCAGGGGCACCTCTGAGGTCGCTAAAGTCCGAAGCAAGCATAATCTTCTCAAGCCTCTCGCTGCGCGTCTTCTCCAGAGGCTCACTGTACATCAACAGATCCACCACGATGACGTAGAATGCATAATACTGAGATGAGTTGCACAATGCGTGAGCCTGGGGGAATTCGATCCAGAGGTTGTCCATTCTGGATTCGTTGTTGTCTGCGGCCGCCCCGTCGTCATTGTCGGTTGCTTCGCTGGCGTTCACTTCGTCGTTATACTTCAATCGAAGCGTGTTGTAATTGTCATATCGCAACATAGCAGACGTCTTTTTGACAACGCGTTTGAAGCCAAAAGGATCTGTCTCAAAGTCGAACATGACCTCCATAGGAACCCAAGGCGGCCACGAAGACCCAGCCGGAGTCCCGTAAGTATTCCCCGAGTACATGGACACCAGCTGTGTCGAAAACCACTTCTGATGGGTGACGAAGAACTGTGTACTGTCCATGTTGACGAGGAAACGTCGCTGAACGAGACCACTGACAGTATCAAACAATCTGCTTTGGTCCATCACATCGACAATCTTCAGCTCCATGCCTTTAGCGGCAATGAGTACCACGTGTTTCTTGTTCTTGTCGCTCTGCAATTGAATCTGCGGCGCAATGACACGAATATGGTAGCTGCTTTGGGCCATGTACTCTTTGGCGATACCGCTGGCGAGGTCGGCCATAGATGGACTTCCCGGCCCTGCATCCTCGGCACTGGCGAATTTCTTGCCATCCTCCAAGATTTTGCGAATCCTATCCTCAATGTCTCCCTGGGTGTCCCTCTCTGCCCCATTGACATTGGGACTGCTTGCTGACGGAGTCGAGTTGCTTTCTTTTGCCACTTTGTTCTTGTTTTGCTCCTCAACGATGTCCAGAATGAACTTGACCGCCGGCCGCGACATATAGTAGACAAACCCTCGTCGTTGGCCAACCTGATGGATATAGCGTAGAATAATGTTTCGTAGGGTGTTGTTCCACTTCAATTGCAAGTTGTGGACGACGAAACGGTTCTTGAAATCGCTCGCAAACTCTGCTTCCGTGGGAGTTGACATTGAACCCCTAATGTCCGCTTTCGACTTTCGCGCTTCTGCCTTTACCGATGAGGAAGATGACGAGTCCTCACTCTCAGCACAACAGTGCGAGTTCTGCGTCATTTCCTTAAGCATGCCCTCCAGGAAAACCCTCTTCTCAACTAACACAGTTGTGTGTCTGGTCAAGGCCTCAAAGTCAGCCTTTAGATCCGGATCCTCGTCGCGAACCAGACGAAGCTCGATTTCACCCAAGTTGCGGTTGTGCGTCTCCATTTGTTTATCCAGTTGCTTCAACCGCTGGCGAATCAACTGAACCTGTATCCTTCTAGGATCATCATCCTGGCTCATGATGCACGAATGGGTTGGCTCCTGTCCGAAAGGGCTGCTTCGGTCCGGATCACCGTCAATGACACCGCCAATATCTGTCTGGCGGAAATAGGTGATGCGAGGCGCGAATGCAAGTGGAAGAATCTTTGTGTCCGGGTTTGGTTCCGTGGGCAAAATCCAGTCGAGCTCAACAAAATCATCCATGTCGATCCACGTCAGGTCATTGTCAGGAATGGTGAATCGAGACAAGTCCGTGCCATCTTCCTCCTGATCGGTGACGAAGGTCGAAAGCGAGTGCTTTAGGAAGGCATCAGCGGTCGTGCCCCGAATACTAGCGGAGACAGCGCGGATATCCGCAGAGACGAGATCCAGTTGACCTGCGTGAAGCTTCATGCTGCTTATTCTTGTCTGCGTTCCGCGCCCGCGGTCTCTGGTGTTGAATTCCTCCCGCCGCTGGTGCAGATCGAGCATGAAGCTATCAAGCCGAACCTTGATACCCGTTGCCGAGACCGCATTCTCGGAATAGTCTTCGACGTCCTTGTGCTTGTAGATGTGACTCAAGAACAGAGGCGCAAACATGATGTTATACTTGATAGTGGCCAAATGCCTGCCAAACTTTTTACTGTTCTTCTCCCTGTTAGGCCAAAGGGGACCTTGACGGACAGGAAGAGAGAGTGGGCCCGAAAATAGCGACAACCAAGAAAAGAAATGGGTGAAGAAGCGCGGCGTGAGGTGAATAGCATTATAGCTACGTGATGGTGGAGGGTTGGATGCTGTCCATTCTCGGTCGACTGGCGCGCGGATCGCAACTGAAAGATGAATATGCTGGCTGCGGAATCCACGGAAAGCATCGTAAGGAAGACCGTTTTGTGGCTTGGCATACTGCGGAGATTTCAGAACAACCTCATAGTGAGGCTTGAACTCGAAGTTCCTATTGCCGTTTTCGATGGCCTGCTCAAAGACAAGACCAGCTAGCCATTGTACCTTCCCTGATAGTTTCATGACCACCTTCTTGAAGGACGCAGTAGATTTATGTCTGCTCTCGCTTGCGATGCTTTCATTTTCTCCGTGACGACGACGACCTTCGCGGACTTGGTGGCTATAGTCTGGAACCGCAAGAACACACTCTCCGCTGTCGACAGTCATGAACTTTTTAGGGTCGTCGTCAACGTTGATATTGAACCGTACGTCATTGCGCCAGCACATCAAGAACCCAGCACCATCGCCCGTAACTTCGTAAGGATCCCTGCTTCCCTTGAGTGCGAGGTGTACGTCGCCATTTCCCCTCCAAGTGACGCGGAA